GATTCCTCAGAGGTCGTCAGTCCGACCACCTCTGATGCCCATCAATCACGTGACAGTAACTAAAGGAAATCCATGGATCGCTTAGCTGGCCTAAGCAATCCCTATTTGCTATAAGAAACCTGGATGTGCCTGTCGAGGGTTGCGCCTCTTTATTATGACAAGTATCACGTGAGCACGTGATTCGTGACACTATCCCCTTCTTAGCCTAGCGTGTCCCTACGCTTAAGTACAACCTAAGAAATATCGTCAGAAGTCCAGCGGCCTTCTCCTTCGTTTATCATGACTTCCGCAGGAGTAAAACAACGAACAGCCCTTTCACAACACATCAAAGACTTCGGTGATTACGCAGCTATGTATTGTTCTTTTTGCACAACCAACGATCGTCGATGTATTATGACAACCTCCACGTCCCGTTGTTCCGAGTGCGTTCGTACTGGCCGACAGCATTGCGATGGTAAACCTGAGTTTATCGATGGCTGGGAGGCCCTAGCCCGTCAAGAAGGGAGGCTTGAGGCTGAAGAGGAAGAAGCGATGGCGAAGATCCTTCGTCTTCGAAAACAAAAGAAATTCATTCAGCGGCGACGAAACGACATGTTAGCTCGTGGTTTCAAATCGCTAGAAGAGCTAGATGCGGCTGAAGCAAGAGATAAGGAGGAAAAGGAGAAAAGAGAGGAGGAGGAACGACGGAAGGAAGAAGCTGCCAGGCTGGCCGCTCTTCCTACACCCGACGCCTCCGACCTTTCCCCTGACCTGGGCCTCGACCCATCCTTCTTTGAGGTTTTCCCTCCTGGTTCCGAGATGTGGGCAACCCTGGGTTGCGACGGTGGAACTCCTGAAGTTCCTTCGAGTACTGGTTGATGTTTTTTCTTGGTTCCCAAGTGTTCTCCGAATGTGGGTAGTCCAACCATTTGATCAAGTATTTGAGCTGTCCTCTGACAAGCCTACAGTCAAGAATCCTCTCGACCTCATACTCAGCGTTTGGGTTGACTGGTTGAATCTCTGTGTGTGGGGCTGGTGGTGCTCCCGGTGGTGCTGGTTCGAGTAAGGATATATGAAATACTGGATGGATGTTCATTGTCTGTGGTAGTGCCAATTCATAATTCAAAGGTCCTTTCACTCTCTTGATTTTGAATGGTCCGAGTTTCTTATGGTCCAGTTTGTTGCTTGGTCTCCTTGTGTCAATGTTTTTTCGTACAAGGTAGACTCTATCCCCCTCTTTTAACGTTGGCTCCTGACTACGTCGCTTGTTGTAGTAGTGCGCGTTACGTTCTGCCACAAACTGCAACTCACTTGCGAGTTCTGTGTGCAAACCTTTGATTTTCGAGATCTGGATACGAGCGAGCTGATTGTCTGTCGTCGTAGCCAGTGGTTCTCGATACGCTTCCAATTCGTACCCAAAGTTGGCGTAGAATGGCGTAACAAGTGTTGTTTCCGTTGCTGAACTGTTGTATGCAAATTCCGCTAGTGGTAGCAGTTCAACCCAATCGTCCTGTTGGTAATTTACATAACAACGAAGGTATGTTTCAACCACTTGATTCATGCGTTCGTTCCCTCCATTTGTCTGGGGGTGAAAGGCTGTTGACAGTTTCCTTTTCACTCCTAAGCGCTCCGTGAGGGCTTTCCAGAACAATGAGGTAAAGAGCTTGTCTCTGTCTGAGATTATCTCTTCTGGTAGTCCATGTTTCGAGACTACTTCCTTGAGGAATGCGAATGTCAATTCCTCGGCTGTACTTGATTCTTTGTATGGTACCAAGATCATGTATTTTGTCAGCCTTTCCATGATAACTAGGATCGAATCGTATTCAACTCCTGTCATCGGATCCTTGGATTTCGGTAGTTTTACAATGAAATCCCAAGAGATCGACTTCCAAGGGGTTGGTGGTATTGGAGTAGTGCCCATCTGTCCATAAGGTGCATGGCGGGAAGCCTTGTTCCTAATACAGGTATCACACTCCGCTATCACTTCCTTGACTACGGCAGTTACCCTGTCGACGTGGTAGTTCCGTTTGATTCGCTGGAGAGTTCGGCGAACTCCCTGATGTCCATGGGCCGGTGCCGCATGGTATTCCGCAATAAATTCTTTTGCGTATGAGTCCGGGACCCAGATCTTGCCGTTCTTTGTTTCCTCGATTTCGTCTTTTGCTTGTGCTGCTTTGATTTTGCCGTCCCAGGGACTCTCCCTACTTGTGGCAGCGATTTCATGAATCGTAGGAGCAAGGTCTCCATTCTCAAGAGTCTTCAAGATCGCAATCTTTTTATACTCCTTGTTTCC